TCCTTCTGTATCCAGAATATTCTTCGCATGGTTTTTGACAAAATAACGATGATTTCCCACAGATGTCTGTCCACCAACTCTATCCAAAACGTTTCACCGGTTAAAATTGTTAAATAATCCTTTGTTGTATGCTTAAATCGTCTTGACACATAATTACTCACATTGCAATTACTTCCCTTGAAAACGGATGTTTACTTTTTGACTATTCAACAAAAAGATATTTTATACGCGAAAAGAACTAAATTTTATAAGAGTCATAGTTACTTTGGTGATGCCCTAGGCCTTATCGTCGAAAATAAGACTGATTACTTTTTATTTTATTTAGAAAATAGACCACATGACCAGATTTTATACTGTTAAAAAATACTGTTACCTATGTAACAGTACTAAACTCTTAGTCACGTGGTACACTTGCATTAACAGTAAGAATAACTCCCAGAGGCCTATGGGAAATTAACATTACGAAAAAAGTGAGGGGATTCTTCTTATTATTCTTCTTCTTATTATTATGATGCACTTTTTCCACAAATGGTATCGAAGCCCAGGTGAACGTTATCTGGTGCGAGTTAAAGTCCTTGGTCCTAAAACCTTACAAAAGGAAGGGCAAGTTCAAGCTTACTAGTTGGTCAAACTTGATATAGAATACAATATCAATTGTTGGTCAGAATGCGATAGTTGATCTTTCAAAATGTTAAAAAGTTTCAAGTTTCCTCATAAGTCAGAGTCCTAGCAGTTTGCAAGCCAACTGGTTGATCAAAGTGAATTAATTTAATTGCTTTGGTTATTTAACATTTTAATAGCTATACATTCTTTATTAATTAATTTATTTATTAATACTGTTACTTTCCCTAGTGATTTCACGCTACAAAGGAGGTCATCATTGATATCACACTAGGAATTATAAATCGTTACCAACAATATATAAACATATTACATTAAAATCTTAATATATTTTATATCTGTTCAGTGTACGATCACGAAATAATTTATTCATTTTTAAAAGCTTAATCTTACGTTTCTTATTAATTCTTTATATTTTATATTTACGATAAACCATGACAACTATATTTATCGTATTGTATATTGCGTCTATTATGTTCAGGTGTAATGAGATTTCTCGTCACGCATATTGCCAACATACGTTCCATACGAGCTTTGATGGTAATGTAAAGTTATTAACGTGAACGGATAATATGCATTGAACCAAATCTTTAAAGGCATTGATGTTGGACAACAACTTAAGCGGGTGTTAAGGATTTTTTTAAAGGTAAACTTATATACTTTTATTTATTTATTTTTGTTTTGTTTAAGGAAAGTGAGATTAATATAGGAAATATTAGCATTTTTACAAAGACTAGAGTTAGGGGTCACCATTCTATTATTTAGGGTTATCTGGCATGGAAATAAACACAATCAGATTGTCATTTAACTAAACTTTTTTGTCAATCATAATTTACAAGATAAAGGTCTTCTGCAAAGACATTTTTTATCACGAATCAATGAAATCTTACATGTTATTTTGGGATTTTTGTAAGGTTTTAGAAAATGCATCTATTTTTCTGTACGTCCAAAACGTTGACATTTTGAAATGATCGCGAAATCAGAATAGAGATGAATTTCGTATTTTTCTAAAATTCCTTTATATGTGTATACAAATAATTCTTGCAATAAATGGACGTGCATTTTATTTAAATATACACTTACAATTATAATCTTGATGGACTTTTAAAATTTGACACTAATTTTGGTTGGCATTTTAAAGTGATGTATCATTTTTTTTCTAGTTGTGGCAGGATTGCACCCGAATAGCACCGCTGAATTCTTTTCAATGAAAGTCTTTTCTACAACATTTAACAGGGAAAGAACCTTAAATCAATTAATATAGAAATGTAACCTTTCTTTAACATAGCTAGAAATAGAGAAATTCATGACCTTATTGTTTTAATTTGTGTGACCGAAAGTGCGGTAGGTTGTCTGATGTTAAAAATTGCATGCATACCTGTACAGAGCGCTTTGGAGTCAAAGTTTCAATTCAGAGAAAGGTGCTTTAGTTTGGTACTCTATCCAACAGGAACCATATAGGGTAGGGTAGAGCGAGTGATATATCAATCACGCGAAGAAAGCAGCGTGAAATGTAAATTTATTGTCATAAAATGTAGAGAGAAATTTTGAAAAAGTGATACGCTATATTTTATTAATGATCAACATTATTTTTTGTCCAATCACATTGTAGTATTTTTCAAAATTCTGCTAAGTCTAAGTATAGGTTAGTGTTTAATAATACGTATTAACATAAATAATTGGTCAAGCCTGCCGCAGGCAGGCGACCAATTATTTTTGTTAATGCGTATTATTAAACATTAACCTATTTAATGATCAACATTATTTTTTCAACAAAAAACAAGGCATTTCTCTAAATCACTGATAGCTCCGCCCTTTCGCTCTATAAGATGTCTACACCTTGTCAAGTTTCTAACATGGCACATTTAGATAAGCTTAATAAATGGCCCTTTCAACATATAATCAGGCACATTTTTATTAAAATGTCACAGAATTTTTACCTTTATCTACAGTAAGACTATAATATCTGAGAAAAAAAACAGTGATGCGATTAGGTAAAAACAATGAAGTTAATGAAATGTGTATATCCTTTTAAAATAAATGGAAAATGTGAGAAAAATACATAAGAGATTATTCATTAATACAAATTCGTTATTAGGTTCAAGTTATTCACTAACATTTAAAATCCCTATTGATTTGCTCATTTGAAAAACAGTTCATTTTTCTTATTTTTCTGTGTATCAATTTAGGTTTACAGGTGGAAGCGGTCCATTTACAATGAGTTTTCCAGCCAAAAAAATCTAATCATTGTATTCTTAGTATCAATGATTGTTAATGCAGTTCATTCCTATCAAGTGAAAAAATTATGTTTTGGAAAATATAAGGAGACATTTTTCATAGAGTTAAACGGATATAAAAAAGTTACTATGTAATCATTTGTCTCTGCGTGCCCAACATGTATTATCTATGTAATAAATCAATTGATTGTATCCTCACATTTTGACCTCGACTAATTTTTTTTATGTTGGCATTGTTTTGCTAACCTTGACATTTTACAATTCAGAGTGTAAACCATACTTCTAACTCCTCCCTAATATAATGCATTATTGAAATTTGTTAGACTGCGGTTAGACGACAGATTAAGTGAATTTTATTTAGTTATTACACATAAACCAAAGTTAGACTTAGCAGAAATTTGAAAAATACTACAATGTGATTGGACAAAAAATAATGTTGATCATTAACTTTGGATAATGTATATAAATAAAATTTACTTAATCTGTCGTCTTACCAGTCTAACAAATTTCAATAATGCATTATATTAGGGAGGGGTTAGAGGTGTGGTTTGCGATCTGAATTGTAAAATGTCTAAGGTTAGCAAAACAATGCCAACGTAAAAAGAATAAGGCAAGGTCAGGTATTTCTAAATGTGAGGATGCAATCAAATAATTAATTACATAGTTAATACAAGTGGGACACGCAGAGACAAATGATTACATAGTAACTTTTTATATCTTTTAACTCTAAGAAAAATGTCTGTTATGAATTGCTGACTGTTTTAAACTTAATATTTTCTAGAAAAAGTAACCAAAACATTATTTTCTTTCACTTGATTGGAATGAACTGCATTAACAATCCTTGATATTAAGAATACAATGATTACATTTTTGGCTGGAAAACTCATTGAAAATGGACCCCTTTCACCTGTTAACCAAAATTGACACACAGAAAAATAATAAAATGAATTGTTTTTCAAATGAGCTAATCAATAGGGATTTTAAATGTTAGTAAATAACTTGAAGCTAACAAATAATTTGTATCAATTAATAATCTCTAATATTTTTCTTACATTTTCCATTTATTTTAAAAGGATGTACACATTTCATTAACTACATTGTTTTTACCTAATTACATCGTTTTCCTCTCTGTTTTTCCCCACATATTTAATAGAAACACAATAGTCTAACTGTAGATAAAGGTATAAATTCTGTGACATTTCAGTAAAAAATGTATCTGATTATATGTTAATGATCAACATTATTTTTTGTCCAATCACATTGTAGTATTTTTCAAATTTCTGCTAAGTCTAACTTTGGTTAATGTGTATTATCTTAATAAAATTTACTTAATCTGTCTTCTAACCATTCAACAAATTTCAATAATGCATTATATTAGGGAGGAGTTAGAGGTGTGGTTTGCACTCTGAATTGTAAAATATCTAGGTTAGCAAAACAATGCCAACGTAAAAAATATTAAGCGAGGTCAGGTGTTCATACAATCAATTAATGTATTACATAGATAATACATGTGGGGCACCAGAGACAAATGATTGCATAGTAACTTTTTTTTATATCCTTTTAACTCAAAGAAACAGTCTGTTATAAATTGCTGACTGATTTAAACTTGATATTTTTTAGAAAAGTAACCAAAACATTTTCTTTCAGTCGATAGTAACTGCACTAACAATCCTTGATGAAGAATACAATGTTTACATTTTTGGCTGGAAAACTCATTGTAAATGGACGCCTCCACCTGTAAACCTAAATTGACATACAGAAAAAAAGGTCAACTGTTTTTCAAATGAGCAAATCAATAGGGATTTTAAATGTATGTGAATAACTTTAAGCTAACCATGAATTTGTCTCACATTTTCCATTTACATGTATTTTAAAAGGGATTTACACATTTCATTAACTCCATTGTTTTTACCTAATTGCATTTTTTTCCTCGCTGTTTTTTCCCAGTTAGAAACATAGATTAAGATATAAATTCTGTGACATTTCAGTTAAAAATATGCCTTATTAAAGGTTGAAAAGGCCATTTATTTAGCTTTTCTAAATGTGACATGTTAGAAACTTGACAAGGTGTAGACCTCTTATAGAGCGAAAGGGCGGAGCTATCAATGATTTAGAGAAATGCCTTGTTTTTTGTTGAAAAAATAATGTTGATCATTAAATAGGTTAATGTTTAATAATACGCATTAAACAAAAATGATTGGTCAACTGCCTGCGACAGGCTTAACCAATTATTTTTATTAATGCGTATTATTTAACACTAACATCTACATGGTATTGTTGGTAATTTATAGAACTCGTGTTCTGTATTTTATGTGTAGGATTCATTCAATATTATTTCTAAAAATGTCAAAAAAATGATTGACTCAAGGCGAAAATGTACTTGCTTAATAGAGGGCCGTTCTGCATAAGTTGAACTTCCTTTTCCTTTTCGATTCCATAAAGGGTTCACAATAATAATTATTGTTCGGGCTTTTACGTAAATGCCTTATATCTATAAATATTAAATATATTATTTAGATTTTGTCGATTACTTCTGAGGAACGATTGACGTTTGTATAAGCTTCATTGTATTCAAATATTTCTTTGTCGTTGTTAAACAGATTTTGGTGGTGGGTATCTACACTGTACTTAATTATCATTTTGCATTTCAATGACATAAACATAATCAAACATTTTTAACGAGTTTTTTTCCTGATGGTGATAAACTTAATGGTATATTTTACGAGTGATAAAATATCACGTCTGACCTATTATGTAAATTACGTATTTTTATGAATTGTTAATATTCGGAACGATAAATAAATGAAAAACGATACATTCGATAAATCGTATATGCAAAATCTGCATTGAAGCGACTGTCAACTCTGAATGAAAAATTAAATGTTAAAGTTTACGCCACCATGGTTTAATTAATTTAATATAAGAAATTATCAATGTTATCAGATTGAATGTTAGATTTTATTAATGTGGGCGACGATAATAGTGTGTTTATGCCACTAACGTATTGACAGCTTAGTTTTCAACCTTTCATCATGGCCAGGCCTGCATAACTTAAAAATAAAATCCATTTTAAAATCAATTAACACTAATGGTGTTAATTTGAATAATTTCATGAATGATAAAGTAAAAGTATGTTCGTGAGGTTGGCAGCCTAACAGCCTGAAGTTGGTGGCCTAACAGCCTGACGTTTACAGCCTAACAGCCTGAAGTTTGCAGCCTTACACCCTAAAGAAAAGTAAGGATAGTACAAGCATGAAACCCGTCGGAAAGGAATCGGCAGCACTTACTTAGACCATTCCACGTCTTATTTTAATATCGCGATCTTTATTATTTTCTTTAATAATGAACTTTATTTCTTTTTTCATTCTGACGCTTCGAAATTTATGAAGTTAGCAGCCTATCAGCCTAAGAAAACTAAGGATAGTACAAACATGAAAACCGTCGTTTTATAATAAAACAGTTTTAAAAGAAGTCATAAATAGCTTGGATTTCGGACAAACTCACTTGACTGCACCGACACATTTGATCAGTATAGAGATCCTGCAGTTGAAATTCTGAAAATCTAATCTAAATGGTGTAAATTATTTCCTCTTATAATATAAGTGATTGCAACTGTGAATCAGTTGTGTCTCAATTTATAGTCATACATTACGTATAATTCATCTGATTAAAGCGGTACGTTAGAGACGTGGCCTCCATGACCTTATGGTTTAGTTTGAATTGAAACCACCTGCCTGTCGCCGCTTAGGGTTCGAGTCTCGCAAAGGTCTTTGGATTCTTTAAAATGAGGAAGCTATCAAACAAGCTTACGGAATATCGGTGGCTTCCTCTACTCGGATGTCCGTTTGTGCATGAAATAATGTACAGAGGGGCACCAGAGGTCTTTCTCCACAGAAGAGCTGGAAAGTCGCCATATGACCTTAACAGTGTTGGTGTGACTTTAGAAAGGTAAAATAAGAATGAAAAAATAATTGAACAACATTATTTGAACGGTTAATATTTAATATCATTATCACTGATAAATGCTACATTTGAAAGAAGATAACGTTTTGACAGGCACTTTTGAAAGTAACATTCATTTTTGGGGGCTCCAACTTGATATATATTCATCTGGTTCATTTCAACTTTGTGGGTTACCTCTGGTCCGATATTTAAATACTGCGTTAAAGTCTGTCAGAGAATGTGAAATGTTGGATAATTAAGTAAAGCATAAGAACATACTACTAGTAAGCTGTCAAGGGATACTCTCGTCCAACTAAAATAAAGGTACATATTATATAACAGCATATGGCTTTATTGATTAAAGATCCTGTAACTCAATTTTTTATGGTTTTATATCTTAAATATAATGCTCAAATGAAGATTTATCAATAATGTAAGTTCAAAAAAGTTTTATTTGTAAAGATATTAGTACAGAATTCACATTTTATGTTAATAAAGGGAGGTAATTAGAAATTCATTTTCCGTAAAGTCTAAGCCAAATTTTTCAAAAAGAAATGAATCCATATATTTTGATGATTACATAAAATGTGAACAAATATTTGCAGTACATATTTTACATATTCTTTGATGTTTGAAAATTGTTTAGAAGCATAATTAAATACATATATAAATTTTCACTTAAATGCGGTTACAACCTTAATTACAACATACAACATCTTTAAAGTAACATATGATATAATATTTCAGAAAAAGGTATATAAAGGAATGGACTTTAATGTACTGCTACTGGTGCTAGCATATAGCGCAAGATGTCTGTGCGTGTTTGTATCAACACCAACCAGCAACGCTACAGAAACACATCGTCTTTATACAGATCTCTTCGTGAATCAGGGTTACAACTCTAAGATACTGCCATATACTAATCGGTCTGCAAAGTTTGGTAAGTACCTGATAATTGCGTCGTATCATTTCCGAGCCAAATACCTCTGATAATTAAGCAAACTGATTTAATTGATTTCTTCTCATTTATCCTAATTATGTGTTAAGGATATAAAAAAATTAACAAGAGTTCCAATCAGAGATGTTACATTTCCGATCCTTTAAGATCGTTCAGCACGACATTATAGTTGCGCTTGTGGTAATTTAGTTCTTTTTTTCGGCTATTTTCTTGTTGGGTGGTTCCAGTATTCCTCACTTGAATACTGTTTAATCAACCTTGCGATATGTAGCCTGCTTTTTTAATTTGTCTTTTGACGTCTTATCTGTGGTATGCAGGCTTCATAACCTCTGATCCCCTTTCAAAATTCTATTTTATTTATTTCCGCCCATTGTTTTCTTGTCAGGTCACACGATATTGTTTACTTGGGGACCATATGCCGCTTTTTATGGAATGACATTTACGTGACACGTTGAAGTTTCAATGATAACCGCCATGTGAACACATCTGTGGATGTTTTAAAATTCAAAATTCTACCAGTTCATGATAACTGTTGAATTCTGCTAAAGCCGGTGCTGGGGCGTGGACGGTAGTTATTCTTCAAATAACTATCCGAATCTTGAAGATTGATGATATATGTCGCTTTTATGGACAAAGGCTGATCAAAAGTTAAATCTGGTGTCACATTGAATTTTCCGGATAAATCACACACATAGTTCATGGTTGACGGAACACAAGATGGATCAGTTGGACTCATGTCTATCATTGGAAGCAATGATTTACTGGATTTGCCAGGGTGGTTAACACGAGTTTTGTCATAAAATTGCATAAAGCCGGACCAGAATGGACATAAATTGTTTATTGGCCAAAGATTTTTTGCAAATTGGTCAAAATTGTATCTTTCTTCTGATAATAAATCAGAAATATTTTTAAGATAAACAGGAATTGTATCCATTGATGACCTTGAACAAAATACTTTGTTACTTAAGCTAGACTTTGTAACTCCTAGAGGCTCACATTTCTTCTGACAGGTTCAATATCACTCTCGTGTATTAGAGGCAATCATTCCCATACCATGGAAAATTCCATGACCATCCAATGTTCTGATGTTATGATCAACATTGTCGGCAATAAATTGTGTAAAATGCCCAGGAAAAAAGCTGAAACGTATCCATGAAGAGCAGCAGCAGCGCTTGATTCATTTTGTGTTTCCCAATACGATAAACAAAATCCAAGAGAATTTAGTACCTCTATAAGATATTTTTAGACAAAGTGCTGCTGTATCGAGTTGCAATGGTGCTATGACGCCTCTTTGTCGACATGTTTGGATAATGACTTGACCAATTGATCCCAGCTTAACGTCATCACCTGCATATAGATCGCTCAGGAGATTCTCTGGAATATATTTCAGATTATCTACATCAAAACCTTTAGATGAAAACGATGGATATATCCCCTTTGATGCATCAATTAACTCAATGTCGGCACGAATAAGTTTGACAACCGTTTTACAATGCTTCTCTTCTTTTCTTCTTCACTCTGATTGAGATTTTTTTCATGAAATCATGTATAATAGTGGCTGTGGTTTCTTTCAAACTAAATATATCTCCTTTACCAACCATCTAAACAATCATTATAAAGCTTCCAAAGAGTTCAAGAATCTTTTTCTTTGAATATTTACTTGAGTTTGCATTTGCACCACACATTTCGTGATACTGGAGTTTTATCACTTGCATTTATATAATCTATGAGATCATTAAATGCCTTTGTCTCACGCCAGGACCTTCTGGTCTAGTCTACCAACATATTTTTCCTGGAGCCATTAACATCATTATACATTTATGGTAATTGCTTCCCTGTTCTGAAATTAACGTAACTCTCTGGAGATTCGTGTACTGATGCGAAGTCAAATACTGTGATAAAAACCCAAGACTTTTTCGGCCATTTCCCACAAAATTTTTTGTAATTTTCTTTTTTTTAAAGTTAAGCTTCTTTGGGAAAAAACCATTACCCTTTTAAATTCCCACTTCGCTATTTGATAACAAAACTAGCAATTACTTTTAAAATCATGTGTTAATAGAACGTAGAATTTTGGCACTTCTGTAGTAACAGTTTAACTTGAAGTTGCAATATTTCTTTGATGAATAAAATTTCTTCTGCAGTAAATATAGACAACTTGGCCCGGCTCTGTTTTAACAGACGATTCTAATTGTTTGCTTACTTTGTTAACACTATCTTTAACAATCAGTGAAACATTTGGAAATGTTTAGCTATAGCTTTGTATATTTCAAATTCAGATCCAGGCTACTTAATATTGCAGAACAAAAAGGAACATCATCATCATCATATTAAGTTTTAATCACAATCAGATCACTTCAGGGGGTCTAATATGGAGAAACATGTATTATTCACAACACATTTACAAAATATGTAATTTCTGGATTAGATATCACAAAAATCTACGTCACAAATTTAAACGTCAATTCTTCACGCATGATTGATCATATATGTCGTTAAAGAGTTATAACTCTCATAATAGTTTATGTTTGTTATTGTTGTTGTTGTTTTTGATTGATTTTTTTTAGAATAATTTTGTGATTTTGTGTTCTAAAGTTTATTGGACTAAAGTTTAGTACTACATTGGCCGAAACATATTTGTTTTCACTTCATCTTCTAAGATTTTTTTTTATGTTTCAGGTGTTACAATGTCGTTTGTTCTTAAAACGATAATTGATTTAGATGAAGTAACAGAAACATTGAAGACATCATCTTACATGGTCATACGATGGAACGATACATTCTTAAAATGGAATAGAACAGAATACAACTTTTTATTTATAACATACTGGCCTCAGGTATTTTCGCATTTCTTGTTACATTAAGCATTGACCTTATTTTACTACTTTTTTGATAAATTCCAATGAACATTTTATTTAGGTTCCTCTTTTCACCCCTCTCTATATAACTAGCCCAGGTCGCTCTTGGTTTTAACTATGTAACTCGGTCGACAGTCATGTGGAGATTCTTATGTTGGAACTAAGTAAACCCACATTTGCATCATTATAAGGAAAGAATAACTATCGAAAATAGATCATTTTATTACTTCCATTAACAGAACACATTTCTTGCCAACTATGCCAATATTAAAACGATTCTTAATATTGAATCTGTGTCACAGTCTTATACGTGAGAAACAATTTAGCAATCTTCAGTTGCAGTATAAGTGAGTGAGCATAGTTTAGTTGTACTTTTGCAGGAAAAAAAACATGTTTTAACATATCTAGGTTATCGTGACTACGTGTCGTTGTTTCACGTTTAATTTCATCCTACGACCCATAACTCAGTGCGAAATGAAAAAACAGCTGCATCCAAATACGGCTTCGGTAGTTTTATTTTTAAGATATATCTGTTACATGACATCGCACTAGCACGTGGAAAGCAAGCAATGGTTTCCTTATACGAAATACAAATAACAAAACGCCGAATTACCTCTGAGATGTACACATGTATGCATGAACAGCGCTAATGCTAAAGTTCGTGCATTAACATATGCAGAAGATACCAGCCTTATTAAATCACTTGCACTGCGGCTTGGGTCTTAAATGCGTCCTTGTGTTTTTTTGGGGAGGCTATGCCGACCCAATGTTAATAACCGTCCGTCAAATCTTACTGCCGCGGTTAACAGGTCAAAAAATAGTACCTTGATTTTTTCTAAGCTGACTCATCACAGACATTTACAATATGAAAATATTTTCATTCTTTAATTTCATATCTGAAATTTGTAAAGATAATAATTATCTGAAAAATTCTTGATTTTTGTTTATTTTTTCAAAATCACTACTCGTTGACGTCATACTGCCGCGGTAATCAGGTTTAGGCATACGTACGTCTGTAATAAATAGTTCAGGCATGAAAACCCTTCTACATAATAACTTTATCAATAATTTTTTAACAAAAAGCATAAATGAAATTTATAAGTAAATGCTTTAATTAGGTGGCAAATATTCTTTATTATTTTTGATAACAATTTTCCAATTACTACGCAGCGACCAACTCTTTATGACGGGTCATTAACTAGAACGTTGCAACACCGTAGTCTCAATATCATGCATGTTCTTTTGTTGATATAAACCATTAATAGTCCTTAATATTTTTTAAAGACAAATAATGGTTAATTGTCGCTTACATCAGAGACATTGATCGTGCTTGCGTGATAACTAAGGAAAACTAACTTATTAGTACACCCTAGGAGACTGTACGCGGAAAACGATCATAAACCGCTATATCATATAGCTGTAAAGTGAACAGTTAAATGACAGAAATATGTGGTCAAATATGTTTTAACAAGGAAATAATTACTTCAGAGAAAGACGCAAAGATCAGTCTTCAATCAAATGAATGACCCCGTATTGTGTAATTAGAAAGCTTATTCAATTCTAGGGCAACGCATCATAATTTGATAGTCCATGTGTAATAAAATTCAAATTTTCAATACATAAAAAATATTAAAGAATAAGAAGCTTAAAAAAAAAACAAAAACAAAAACGCATATATATACGAATGATTTACAGTCGAGCATCGGGAATTCATCAACATATCTTACGAAACTTTAATTTGAAAACGATATTTGCGCGCGCTGAAGTGATTAATGTTTATTTAAATAATTCAAATAAAAAAACTTATATGTTTGTGTTCTAAAAATAATCGGCGGCATAAGAGGAATTTCGTATTCATTTTACAACACTTGAAAAATACTGCAGAAAATGTGTTGTTGTTTTTTTTGTTTTGTTTTCAACAAAAGTGTGTGTGTTTTAAGTTTATTTATACTCGGGGCCGGAATAACCATATGTCCGAGATTATAGCATCGGGGACGTCTTTTTCAAGCCGAATCTTCCTGGTAGCCCATTCTTCGTTCGTTGGTGGTAAAGGAGACGACAATACTGTCAAGGCATCAACTTCCTGACTGACGACAACAAAAACGGCATTCATTAGCGCCAAACCTCCAGAGTAAGTCACGACAGGTCAACCAATCACCTCTGGTACTTGAGATGACTTGACCTTGACCTGCCGTGTGCCTTCTCCGCGACGTGCACGCCTCTGGAGGGATTTGGAGAAGTTTCAACAAAAACTTCCAAAACACGCTATTTATAACACCATTCATAGCACTGACGCTTCGATGTTCTCATCTATTTGCGGGAAATGGTCGACAGGGAAAACCCTACGTAATAACCGCACACCCTGTTAACAATAGATTTTCCGCAGTTATATTTCAAGCTAGTGAGGTTTAAAAATGCATGAAGAATCTATCTATTAACTACCATAAGTTGGTAAAAAAAAGATATAACTTCCTGATCAATTTTCACTTAGGTTGATTCAATTTTGAATAAGCTTTGCAGATATGTTTTTTTTTTTCAAGAAATATTTAGTTGAAATGTTGCATAACTTGCAGTTGTTATTATCATTCACTGATAATAAAATGACATAAAGTATTTATGATGAACAGTCCAAGAATATTTTGATAAGGAACAGTCAGTTGTAAAATGTTATTGTTATCTTATAATGAACAGTCGTCATACTTTCTGGTATGTCATTTATTATTGACAGTTTAGGTTTTTCAAAATTTGCAGGATTAGCAGTCCGAATGTAGACCTCAATGAAATGTTCTGGAATATTAACAAAATGAATAGTCAACCATATTAACCATATATATGAATGGTTGAACACAACAGTAAGGATAAATGACACAATGTGCATATCTTCTTATTTTGGTAATAGTTGAAATAACAGCACATTTTAAGTAAAAAGAAAAGAAACTATAAGTCTGAAACATTCTGTCATAGCCTCCCCATCAGTACATTCAGTGCTTTGATTACATATGTTAATGCAAGAACAAATTCGCTTTAACCCTCTAGTAGTATCAGTTTAAAACTAACTTAATGATCCCGTAGTTTTTGCATTATTTTTAAGAGAACGTATTTTTTCTAGATGCATTTAATATTAGAACAATTCACATATTATTTATATAAACAAAGTAAAAAAAGGTTTTGATAGGTTGTATGGTTAAGTGTCAATGGTTGTTGGAAAGATTATTAAAACCTTACCACCGGGAAAAGCCGTATACATTTGACATAACCACACCATGTTTATTTTTATTTCAGAATGATGTTTGGAAGCCAGACATAGTTCTGGCTAATTCAGTTAGATCATATGAAAGTTTAGGACATGAAACTTTAATGGTTGAAAACTTTTATAATGGCACTATAAAGTGGTTCCCTCAAGAGGTATATAGACATTTAGATCTGCTAATCGAATGTAAAATTCCTCTTATTGATAACCTAATTATACTGATATCATAAAATATATAGTACCCAATCATGTATATAAAACAATATCCGACTACAATGCCATATCAACAGGATTTATCAAGTTTAAATACTTTAATGTTGACTTGTTTCTGAGAATGATTTGCTCCACCTAAAGATTGCTTGATTTTTATAACCAAATTTCTGTGATAAAATGACTTAAAGGAGTTTTGTTTTAAAACATATTATAACGCACCTTTTTGTTTAGAAGCGAACAGAAAACCCCTTTTTGATACAATCATAAAGCGATAAATCTGCAATTGTTAATTATGAACATTATATTGTCGAACATATTCAACATTATCACATTCAAATATGTATATGCAAACACGATTAACCAAGACAACTGATGTTTATTGCAAACATAACCTATCTGATATCGGATATCTGGCAAGATTTCCACCGAATTAGATAAAACTGGCCAATATATTTTTTATTTAACCAATCTGATAAAAGGAATAGCTGCGAAGGTATTATACTTTATTCGTCATTAAGATCATATCCACAAAGTTGCTTACTTTTCAAGGTCATTCGGATTATTGACCGTTCAGTGTGATTTTGGCTTTTTGTCGACTTTTATTAGTACAACAATGCATATTATACCGTATCATTTCGATCTTGACACTTACTTAACTTCTGGTCAAAATCACACCACTAAAAACGGTGGTCAATCCCAGAAAAAAGTAACAAATGAACGAGCATCTGAATATGATTATTATATCGCTTTCCGTTTCCCTGCCGTCATAATAAATAAGCCCCAACAAAAAATGATTCAAGATCATTCGGATTAACGACCGTTTAGTGTGATTTTGGCTTTTTGGTACAACAATGCATATTATACCGTATAATTTCGATTTTGACATTTACTTAACTTCTAGTCAAAATCACACCACTAAAAACGGTGGTCAACCCCAGAAAAAAGTAACAAATGAACGAGCATCTGAATTTGATTATTATATCGCTTTCCGTTTCCCTGCCGTCATAATAAATAAGCCCCAACAAAAAATGATTCAATCTATGAGCATGCTCTGGAGTGCGGGTAACTAATAAAAGATGGAAACATTTTCATATACATTGTAACTGTTAAAACACTATTAAACGAAGCAAAGATAAGTGTACAGTGTTTCATTATTACAAATAACACTGGACCTGTCATTTTAATGCTGGTCAACATCTGGTTAGTTGAAATAGGCCGGAAAGAATGTAATAACTGTAAGAATTTTGTTTGCGATAACACTTTAACAAAGTATCATAAAGTTACTCTATGTGAAATATGAATAAATGCTGCGTTAACACTGTGTTCTCGCCGATCACGGAAGATGTGACCATACCGCGATTATCATGGAACCTTCAATGTGACTAGCAAGTGTCAAAAACTTGAGAAAAAAAACATCAAATTTTGTGGAATACTTAAGTTTCCTTTCAAGCCCTATTGAGAACTAATATGCATTAATAATTATAGCTATTATAGTTAAATTGTTATACAAGGGCGGTCCAAATATTTAAAACAAGGAAAATCATGTTATATATTATAATGTTATACACATGTACATATGATGTTATTATGCTAATTTCTGAAACATTAAACAGACATCATGTTTTATGAACTTTTATACAATATTTCAGATGTTTGAAACGTCCTGCGATATAGACATGAGATATTTTCCATATGATGTTCAAACTTGTGAGATACAGTTTATGTCTTGGAGCTACGTTAGCGTAAGGAGCCTTTCTTGACATAACAATTGCTTATAAATAACGGTCATAAAACAAGTATCCATATAATATCGCCATCACAACTTTTCCTATAAGATATGATATTTGTTGATTCTGCTCAAACCGGCATTTATGTCACTGAAAATAAAGAATTTATAGAAAGTTTAGATCATATTTTGATATAATTTGATGAAAATAGTAAAATAAACAAAGCCATCTAGACTGGTTAACCTGACCATAGACGGATCAATCCTTGTGCCTGCACTAAAACAATCAACTGAAGTTTTTTTTCCTTACAAATGGTATCGTGATACATTACACTATGTGGACCTATAGACCTTTGTAGTATTTTCTTTTAGACAACATTTATGTCAGATTTGGTAATACCCTATTTAAACAGGTGATAGGAATTCCTATGGGAACTTATTGTGACCTTTTGTCTCCGATTTGTTTTATATTGCTATAGAAGAGACTTTATGTTGAGTCTCTCTGAAGATACACAGCAAGATGTTATAATAGCATTAAATTTTAATAACACTTCATGATACTTTTATGATATTTTTAATTTAAATAATTTTTATTTTGGTCAAATGGTTTCTAATATCTATCCCAAAGAACTTCAATAATAATAAAACGAGTTCTTGAAATTTTACCACATCAGTTTTGGATCTTCATAACAATACTATTCACACAAAAATCTATGATAAGATAAATGACTTTGATTTTGGTATAGTCAATTATTAATTCAGATGCACCCTGTGCATCATCTTACGGGGTATATTTATCTCAGTTAATTAGATTAGCTAGGGTTTGTAGCGATGTAAAAGACTTTCACGAACGGATTATTTTCATTACTAGCAAACATCTCAGAAGGGGCTACCGTTATCAAAAATTGCGGAAATATTTTCCTAAATTTTATAATTGTAATTTCGATTTAATATCAAATTCAATAACGATTAGGGATAAGCAAGTCTGATTTCCATGGGATTGGATTTACAAACTTTTTGGGTCATGGTAATTTTTATGCTGCCTTTTTGAAATAATAAAACGTGTTGTAAAAGACGTTATGACCCTACTATTTTAATTCATTCTGCATGGTAAGTGGTCAGCCCTTTTTACAGTTAGACACTACGCTTTCCTCTCTTTATTACATCTGACGGACCAAGTGAGAGACTATGATGGACAGTTCTGAAAGCCCATCGAACTGAATCTGTCTTGCTTCGTCGGGTAGAGTGGGGGGGGGGGCTTGTATGTGATATTTTTGCTGCTCTGTCTTCTTTCAAGACATTGGGAACTTTAGTTATGGTCATTAGGTTTACTTTTATATGTTTCTACACGAGCATTTCTGTGTTCTACGTATTTTATCTTTTGTTACCATAACAACTGTTAAAATTACGCTTGACGGGGATTCATTTTATTTACATTGTCTCGTTTAAGTGGAACATTGCAGGGCTATGAGTGAGGTTTGGTGCACCAATAACCGGTTTAAACTCCTCATCAGTACTTATGCTGCTGACCGTTACCCCTTCCTCCATACCATTTTGCAGGTCTTTCTGTTTATTTTCATTTAATAATTTTCATCTTTTATTATCTTGTAAGTTTTTATGATTTCCTGTTTTATAATAACATCCCGTCTATTTTAAGCTCGTGTGCCCAGTCCTGTTTGGTGTCCATCCTGGCTCCTTGCAAGTGGTCCTGTGTTGGAGAATGTGTTCATTGAATGTCTCCCTTCCTTGTTGATCTTGTTTTTCATATTTTCTTCTATTACTTGTAAATGATAAACAGATAACGTATGAACCTGGAAGCGTGGGTGGAAACTCTACAAAAATAGAAGTAAAATATCTTTTAATCAGCCAAAGTTACATTTCGAATAGTTATACTCTATTTTTCATTTTTGTTTGTTTGTTTCAGTTATGCAATACTGATCACACATAAGGTGAAATTGTCTTTTTGCTAAGAATTGATCATAGTATTGATGTTCAATTTTTTTCTCTATCACTCCGACATTTCTATATTCACTTACAGATACACAATTTCAGAAGTCAATTCTTTCTATTTAAAAAGTTTTAACATTTCAAATTATGATTTAATAGCTACATTTTAAGTGTGCAAGTAACAGTGAAAGAATTGTTAAATTTTGACTAAACAATTTAACAATATTTAATCATTAATACATAAATTGTACCTGAGATTCATTGAAAAGGTTAGCTAGGAGTTGGAGCAAATAAATAATTAAAACAATTAGCAGAATATTCCTTCATAAAATTTTAATGATGCCATTGACGCACACGCATTGATAGAAAGAATCAATTTATCAAAACTGAATGTCTTATCACACATAAATGTAATGTAATCATGTGTATTTGAGCGAAATATAAGTATAAGTCTTATGTGGTGATGAAAAATTGCTCTAGTATGTCGCTCAATATTGGGGAAATAATTTTCAAACGATGCAGTTCACTACCATGATATGAAATTCATGTCAGTGAATATTATTCTATGACTATCAAAGCCTTTTAACGTCGCTGCACGGGTGTGACATAAAGTTCTACAGCATTTCGGGGAACGTTAACAACTTCACAGACGTGCTGCAAAATCATGGAGAGAAAAAATACGGGATGAATTGAATCACTGCATAGGGAGGACGGGGCAGTGTCAAGACCTCTGCCAAATTTAGTAATTTATCAAGACTTGACAAATCTGTACCAAAATATGTACAAGTTTATGTCAAATTCGTGCAATGACGGATGTGATCAATGTGATCAATAGTCTGGATGGAAATTATCATCACTGACATCATTTACTTCTCGCGTTACATCAAATTAAATGCACATGCGTGTTGTGTTTGTTTAGAAATTGAATGAATGGAATTTAAAACCATGTCTCTCAACTATATTTATTTCAGCATGGTTGGGTCAATATTGATACAAATATGAGACCATTTATACATGACCTTAATTGTACTAGTACGTACTAAGTTTTTTGTATCATTGCAGGTAAACCTTAGAGCAAGTGAAGATGAAATATCATTGAGGTATTACGATGTAAATCCTTTATGGGAAATCTTAGAAACAAGCGTAAACTATTCAAAAAGAGCTGGCGTGGATGTCTTAATATATGAATTAAAGTTGAAGCGAAAACCCCAGCACGCCCTGTTGACATTATTTCTTCCTGTTTTGTTGCTAACCATTTTAGGACTTTTTGTGTTTGCTATACCTAACGGGGGTGATAGATCAGGATATGCAGTTACACTGTTCCTAGCTTTCTCCGTCTACTTAAGTATTGTAGATTCTGTTATGTCGCGGAATTCCGAGAAGATATCACTGTTTTCGATATATTTGGTTGTTCAAACTGTCCAGTCAACCATCATCACAATTTTATCTGTACTTTTAACAAAAGCGGAATTAATGGAAACGAATTCCACTGTTCCACGTTTTCTGGTGTTTCTAGTTAAAATTAGCAAAGTATGTTGTAAGAAATCTGACAACGTCTATACAATTGAAAGCATTGAAACAGATACAACTTCGGATAACAAGAGCGATAACAATAAGGAGACGAAAACTGTCAAGGAAACAACACCTTGTACTTGGGACATGGTTGTAGACGCTGTTGATAAAATAGCATTAATATTCTTCACTGTCACTTTTATTGTAACAACCGTATGTTTCTTTTGTGTAATCATTCTTGCTAAACAATAACTGTTTTATTTGAGGAAAAAACTTATATGACTTATCATATAATAATACTTACTACATATAGATGCAGTGTAAGTTTTATATTTTATATGAAAGGTTGAATATTAATTCGATGTTTCATCCAGCTAGTGTTCGCGATGAGAAAGACACCATGCTTTCTTGGTCGTGAAATAGGAAATATATCAGATTTTCAATTCACAATAACGAGCTTATTTTAATGTAAAATGCTAAATTCTAAAGGGATTTGATCATTTATCATGTTTTGAGAAACAATTAACCAGGAGAATAGACCGTCATGAATACATGTATACATCTCTGTTAAACACATATTGTTTTCTAAAATCGGTCCCTTTGGAATAAAGCTATTATAAGTACTGAATTGAAAAGTGTAAGAAATTGTTCTAAACGCACTGTTCAACATTGCGCCTTCTATATATAATGCATAGCTTTTTCCCTGATTGTTTTATTTTATCATATGATTTTGTATTATGTAATGTTATAATGTATACTTATATATAGTATGAAGGTGCATTACGATAGTACAGGACAAAGGAACAAATGTCTCACTATCTCTTAGGTCGGGTTACTTTTTTCGACAAAAATGACTATCATGTCATGAAAACTTCAACAACTGTACTTATAACAAAATCATTTGAATAGAATAAATATCTTGTATCAACTGCTGTTCATTAAAAACAATGTATATTTTTATATTTACTTTATCAATACCAATATTTACATATTACAAATGTACTCATGCAATAAAATACACTTTCATACCGAGGATTTTCTCATTTTATCATTTTCACTCAGTTTTTACATAATAACCAGGACAACCTGTTTTTATGTCGAAGTCCAAAATCCGCGATGCTGCTTAAACTGATTATGAAACCCAGGAATAAGTGATCTGACAAAACTTAAAGCGCTTTGTCCTTTAAAGAAAGTTTCATATCGATAAAAAACAAGCAAAAATCCTGAAATGTAACACGCTTAAGTCGAGGAATTGAATATACATGTATTTTAATACTTAACTGATATAAAGAAGAATACATAGATGCGACTTTCGCCTAGATATACAATATGCTTTGTGAAACATATAGATGATACAAGTCATCCGGTATAACATGCACGAATAGAATGTTTCAAACTATGACTTATTTAAATTATACATCTTTGCTCAGTTTTGCTTCTGATCCACATAATAATTATGATCCTATTGATTGGTCAGAGCATGTGCAACTTGTAATTTTAGTTATTGGCAAAGGCGTGAACATGTTATAAGCCAAACGATTGGTAAAATGATGATTCACGAGGAGTGACACGAGGTTTATCACGTGGAATATCACAATGTGCCTCATGATGTTTATCACGTGGAATATCACAATGTGCCTCATGAGGTTTATTATTTGGAATATCATAATGTGCCTCATGAGGTTTATCACGTGGAATATCACAATGTGCCTCTTGAGGTTTGTTATGTGGAATATCACAATGTGCCTCTTGAGGTCTATCACGTGGAATATCACAATGTGCCTCTTGAGGTTTGTTATGTGGAATGTCACAATGTGCCTCATGAGGTTTATCACGTGAAATATCACAATGTGCCTCATGAAGTTTGTTATGTTTGTTATGTGGCGTATTACATGTATTTTCACGTATATTGTTGACCATCGTTTTGAGTTTTCAATGATAGCAATCAACCACTCAACCGGTTGCCAAGAAATCTTATTATTTCATTTCATGTATCTTAACAATATAGTAGTCAGTCCAGAAAATTATTGAATCAATCTTTAAATCAATTCCAGTATAGCTTTAATACGATAAGCAAAACATGTTATAACAATTTTTGTTGTAATGTGTAAATAAAGATATCGTTTGATTATACACCTAAGGTTCTCAGCATTATCAACATCTATGTCAAATCATAACTATGGTAGAGTTATCTCAATATTTTGCATTTCAAAGGCAAGCTTTGAAAGGCCGTCACTGTCACCAAACTATAGCGTGGCGAATCTGAGAAATAAATTCAATGACGATTTTGAACATCACAGCATGAAGTCAGTAAAAAAACATCCGTCAGAATCATTGTGAAAAATACATGTATTATAAAGTAAATTATGCTTATGTTTTAAATAATTGATTTTATACATTTGTAGACCTAACGAGAGGGTTTAATTTCACATACCTGTACCTCGTTTTAAATAATTCCCAAACCCATAAATGTTGGCGTCATTGGCAGAGTGGTAAACAACTCTTTAAACGTCTGTACAGCGTTTATAACTGAATTAAAGATATTGGTGTTCTGACAGTTCTGATTTATTTTCTAAGTTAGACAATTTTCTATCATTCTAAATAGTTTTCAAAACAAAATTTAACAAAAAGTTGTTTTGTATTCTCAGGTTGGCCTAAATAAATATGAGTTTCGACTCTGCCCACTTTCATATTTATATTTCATTTTTATTTTTAAAAAATATGAAATATATTTAATTGATATAGCTCCATATTTCATGGGCAAATTAAATAATACTGATAAATTTCTCACGTCAAATTTCTCACGTCAAATATTACTGATGAATTTCTCACGTCATATATTACTGATGAATTTCTCACGTCTAATATTACTGATGGATTTCTCACGTCAAATATTACTGATGAATTTCTCAGGTTAAATATTACTGATGAATTTCTCACGTCAAATATTACTGATGAATTTCTCACGTCAAATATTACTGATGAATTTCTCACGTCAAATATAACTTATGAATTTCTCACGTCAAATTTCTCACGTCAAATATTACTGATGATTTTCTCACGTCAAATATTACTGATGAATTTCTCACATCAATTTTCCTGTCCCATTTCTCTTTTTTAAATATTCAGTGCAATGTTATTTCAGGTGAGTTGATCTGCGAGTGATTTGTCTGTAATTTTTATTTACAAAATGAATACAATTTGGTCCGTATTAAGCTGTTCCTGGACCGACTATTCATCTATTATATATTTTTGTTATAATAATAATAATACTACTACTAATAATAATAATAATAATAATAATAATAATAATGATAATAATAATAATAATAATAATAATAATAATAATAATTATTATTATTATTATTATTATTATTATAATGATTATTATTATTATTATTATTATTATTATTGTACCATTTGTATTTTCGTACGGTGCAGTGTTATTTTATTGGATGATAAAGTCGTATTACAAAAATAGTAAATGATACTATCTATGCGAAACATGTTGTTATCATAATATATATCTGAAAGCATGCTTTTGAAAAAACATACGCAAACTCTGTTTTTAAATACTTTCCACTTTTATTATCGATAGTAAGTGACACCAAACAGATGTATAACCGAACATGTTTATAATATCATAATAATGTGTAACCGAACTAACAGACATGTTTGCCAACACTGTGGTTGTATATGTGGTTATTTTAGAATAATCAACAATTTAACAAATGAGCCGCGCCACGAAAAAACCAACATAATGCGTTTGCGACCAGCATGGATCCAGACCAGCCTGCGCATCCGTGCAGACTGATCAGGATGCATGCTTACCGCTTATTAACCCTATAACAAGTAGAGAAACTGATAGCCAACAGCATGGATGCTGGTCAACTGCGCGGATGCCCAAGCTGGTGTTGATCCATGCTGGTCGCAAACCCATTACGTTTGTTTTGTCATGGCGCGGCTCAAATTAATGTTTCTATTTCCGGTTTAATGTATTTATGCAATGTATTGTCTGTAAACTATAAAAAAAAGAGCAACTGCACACTTCACCTATATACCACTATTTGATGAAAATTTTCACCTTGGAATATTCAATGATATGCAGACTATGTATCATTTCTTATGTTTGAAAAGAGTACTCGATGTTATTATCTATGCGGCCTAAAGTCGGTCTAAAATGTAAAATTTGCACGGAAGAACTGAAAACAAGAGTTTTCATTAGTCATTTTAAATTTACAACATGAAATCTTCAAATCTCATTGGCTATTCTAAGATGAAATGTAAAGGGTAGTTCTCGTCATTCTAAGATAGTTCTAAACTAAAATTTAATGGATAGTTCTTGCCGTTATAAAATAAAATGTTAAAGATAGTTCAAAAATAAAATGTACAGCATAATTCTTTAACTTTCTAGTTATATTGCTCAGATAATTACATGTAAATTCTTTTTAACAATACTTCCTCCCACAAACATTTTAGACTGCATTCAGATCTAGTGAACAGTTAATTGTACGGAAGAAATTTATTTTACACAAGATCCGAGTTTAAATTTTATCCAAAATAGCGAGAATGATATCAGAGCTTTTCAGGTATCCTAACTTTATGATGTTCAATAAGTGTCTTACATATTATGCATGGGTAAGAGTTTGTATTAAGACGACCGAAGGGCTCAATCGTAAAATTCCTGTTACCATGGGAACGGGGGACGCTCAAAATTGCCAAAAATCTCTTTTTTGCATTGTTTTTTTTCTATCAAAACTGATTTCAAAGTGCTGCAACTTCTCAATGAATTGAGATAGAGTAAAAGGCTTTTCAGCGTCGGTAAATAGTTACCCTAAGATCGACCTGAGGCCATATTTAGCCTGTCGCATGTCCAAAATTTCTTGGCGATGAGGGGGACTGCCACCCCCCCCTTCAAACCCCCCCCCCCAAAGGGTAACATGAAACCTGATATATCTTGTCAAAGGCGTGTGCATTACCTCAGACTAGTGGCTGGTGGTTAGTTTTGTTATATTCTCGTATACAAGGCGAATTCTAATGATTCTCTTTCTTAAGTAAATAAATCAAGAAAAATGATAATGCTTATTCATTGAGTTCTTTTCATAAATAAGTTATAAGTAAAGAAGACTAGCCAAATATATGTATAGTAAGAAGTAAGGTATGACAAAAAATTATATTTGATAAAGAACATTATACTTTAAGATTGGAAAATCCACTTACCATTTGATTATACTTGTACAACATCCTGAAACAACTTAATGATAACACTTTTCTAGCAAAACATATCGGACAAAATTGATATAATAAGCTTCAAAAAGTCGGTATTTCATACAAGAACCTATCTAATATTGCTGTTAACATGATAAAACTATATTTTGATTAAGGGTTCGTCTATTGTTTTGAAACTTACATTTACCTTATTCTGCGATTAACAACATAATGCGATTGAAATGAAAATAATTTTAATGAGAAACGCAATAGTATTATTATTTATAAAGATATCGCTTTGCCGATCTAGGTATACCTCGACATAAAGAGGTCTTCAGACATAACATACATTCATATGTTACAATCTTTGTCATTACATGTTTTTAAATCTTAAAGATTAAACAACATTGAAAATCAGCATTAAATGGACATTAATAGATAGATCTTTGTCTTTTTCTTTAATTTCGAACTTTTGACAGAATTGTATCATGTTTTTTGACATGTGTTAATGTATCTTTATATATTTTTATCATTTTTTAATTTATGCAATTGACTTTGCAGTTGATTCTGAAGTTAACACCTTGAACATACAAGTTTCATTTTTTGCTAAACAGCGTTTATTTAGTGAATTTTTGTCTTTGTTTGCTATTACATGCAAATCTTTCTATCGAATTCAAACAACACACAACCCCTTTAAGAGTCAAATATTATACATCACCTACCAGTTTGTCAAATGATTATTTGTCGTTCTCTTTTGTTGTCATGTCCCCCGCCACACCCCCACCCATACCCTGCTGAAAATAATTTGTTATCAGGTAAATTGTTATATTGAGTCATAAGGGGTGTATGATCGTTTAAAATCAAAATGGCGTCACAGGTATGGGAAATAAAACTTTTTCGAGTATTCTCAACAAATTAACAATGAATATTAACTTTATAGTGCATTATAAACTTTGTATGTATATGTAATGGATCATTATGTATTTTCTTTCATTTTTTTTCAAGCAAATAAACATAGCTTTAAAAGCCCATTATGCCTAAGGATTATTTCTTTTGCTTATTTCTCAAAGCTTTTCATTCCCTGTGTTCTCTAATAGTTTCAAAAATTTAATCTCTTGCATGCCAGCATCCTGAATCATCCTTTGATTCTGCTGCCTTTAAGCAATTATAGTACAGTTTTTGTTATTTAGTACTTTGTATAGAAGTAAAAATACTACATTGTTTTTGAGGGTTTCTTTAATACTTTTATGACACATAATTGCAGATGCAGCACTAATGCTATATGCGATAAGCTTATAACATTCTCTAAAGCCTTTATTTAAACCTTAAAACTCACGTTTTAAAGATGCAAATATTTACCCATTTCTGAGGCATAATGTGCCTTTGACAACAATATGTGGATTTTACAGCATTTCCCTGTGTATTTTGTGATTTATTTCATTTTTACTGATATATCTTGACACAAACACACATATAAAACCTAATTTTATTTTAGGAACACGTGGTCAAACTTAATGTTGGAGGAACACGTATTACAACATTAGGAAGCATCCCGGAAGTAAACTTGCCAACATACTAGCGAAACACGATGTTTATCATAAGGATTCTGAAGGATGCTACTTCATTGATTGTGAAGCTGAAATATTTAAAGTCCTCTTGAATTTTCTCCGATTTGGCACATTGCCAAAGGTAGAAAAGGTATTACAATTACA